ATTCCCAACTTCCAGGGAGAACGTCTGTAAATATTTTTGATTTATTTTCTTCAGTTACTTTTCCATATATCAATATTTTTGCATGCATTTAAAAACTACAATTTTTTTTTTGAGACAGAGTCTCACTCTGTCGCCCAGGCTGGAATGCAGTGGCAGGATCTCAGCTCACTGCAAGCTCTGCCTCCCAGGTTCACACCCTTCTCCTGCCTCAGCCTCCCGAGTAGCTGGGACTACAGGCGCCCACCACCACGCCTGGCTAAATTTTGTATAAAAAATACAATTTTTTTTAAGACAGGGTCTAGCTCTGTTGCCCAGGCTGCAGTGTGCAGTGGCGCGATTTTGGCTCACTGAAACTTCCACCTCCTGGGTTCAAGTGATCCTGCTGCGTCAGTCCCCCGAGTAGCTGGGACTACAGGGGCGCACCACCATGACTGGCTAATATTTTTATGTGTATTTTTAGTAGACATGGGGTTTCACCATGTTGGCCGGGCTGGTATCGAACTCCTGACCTCAAGTGATCCTCCTGCCTCAGTCTTCCAAAGTGTCGGGATTATAGGTGTGAGTCACTGCACCTGGCCTCTTTTTTTTTTTTTTAATTACTTTTGGCTGGTCACGGTGGCTCACACCTGTAATCCCAGCACTTTGGGAGGTCAAGGCTGGTGGATCATGAGGTCAGGAGTTCCAGACCAGCCTTGCCAAGATGGTGAAACCCCATCTCCACTAAAAATACAAAAATTAGCCGGGCGTGGTGGTGGGTGCCTGTAATCCCAGCTACTCAGGAGACTGAGGCAGAGAATTGCTTGAACCCAAGAGGCAGAGGTTTCAGTGAGCCGAGATGATGCCACTGCACTCCAGCCTGGACGGCAGAGTAAGACTCTGTCTCAAAAAAAAAAAAAAAAAGATTTTATTTTTTAATTAAAAAATGTACGGATTTGCCGGGCGCGGTGGCTCACGCTTGTAATCCCAGCACTTTGGGAGGCCGAGGCGGGCGGATCACAAGGTCAGGAGATCGAGACCATCCTGGCTAACACTGTGAAACCCTGTCTCTACTAAAAATGCAAAAAATTAGCCGGGCGAGGCGGCGGGCGCCTGTAGTCCCAGCTACTCGGGAGGCTGAGGCAGGAGAATGGCGTGAACCCGGGAGGCGGAGCTTGCAGTGAGCCGAGATTGCGCCACTGCACTCCAGCCTGGGCGACTAAGCGAGACTCTGTCTCAAAAAAAAAAAAAAAAAAAAAAAAGTACGGATTTATTTATTATTATCATTATTATTTTTGGAGACAGAGTTTTACTCTTGTCACCCAGGCTGAAGTGCAATGGCAGGATCTCAGCTCACTGCAACGTCTGCCTCTGGAGTTCAAGCAATTCTCCTGCCTCAGCCTCCCAAGTAGCTGGGATTACAGGCCTGCGCCACTGTGCCAGGCTAATTTTGTATTTTTAGTACAGACAGGGTTTTACCATGTTGGCCAGGCTGGTCTCAAACTCCTGACCTTGGGTGATCCACCCGCCTCAGCCTCCCAAAGTGCTAGAATTACAGGAGTGAGCCATCGTGCCTGTCCTATTTATTAAATTTAATAAATTAATTAATTAATTTCTGAAACTGAGTCTTTGTCGCCCAGGTTGGAGTGTAGTGGTGTGATCTGGGCTCACTGCAACCTCCACCTCCTGGGTTCAAGCAATCGTCTGCCTCAGCCTCCCGAGTAGCTGGGATTACAGGTGCCCGTCACCATGCCTGGCTAAATTTTGTATTTTTAGTAGAAATGGGGTTTCACCATCTTGGCCAGGCTGGTGTTGAACTCCTGACCTCGTGATCCACCCACCTGGGCCTCCCAAAGTGCTGGGATTACAGGCGTGAGTCACTGCTCCCGGCCTTATTTATTTACTTTTAATGGAGTCCCACTCTGTCGCCCAGGCTGGAGTGCAGCAGCGCCACCTCGGCTCACTGCAACCTCTGCCTCCCGTGTTCAAGCAATTCTCGTGCTGTGCCTTAGCCTGCTGAGTGGCTGGGACTACAGGCATGTGACACCATGCCCGGCTAATTCTTTTTTTTTTTTTTTTGCGACAGAGTTTTGCTTTTGTTGCCCAGGCTGGAGTGCAATGGTGCGATCTTGGCTTACCGCAACCTCCGCCTCCCGGGTTCAAGCGATTCTCCTGCCTCAGTCTCCTGAGTAGCTGGGATTACAGGCATGCTCAATCATGCCCAGCTAACTTTTTGTATTTTTAGTAGGGATGGGGTTTCTCCATATTGGTCAGGCTGGTCTTGAACTCCCAGCCTCGGGTAATCCGCCCGCCTCAGCCTCCCAAAATGCTGGGATTATAGGCATGAGCCATTACTCCTGGCCTAATCCACATTCCATTATGTGGATTATTTAACCCCATTATGAGAAATTTGTTTATGCTTTCTTTCATTATTATACATGACACTTAAAAAATATTATTGTGGCCGGGCGCGGTGGCTCAAGCCTGTAATCCCAGCACTTTGGGAGGCCGAGACGGGCGGATCACAAGGTCAGGAGATCGAGACCATCCTGGCTAACCCGGTGAAACCCCGTCTCTACTAAAAAATACAAAAAACTAGCCGGGCAAGGTGGCGGGCGCCTGTAGTCCCAGCTACTCCGGAGGCTGAGGCAGGAGAATGGCGTGAACCCGGGAGGCGGAGCTTGCAGTGAGCTGAAATCCGGCCACTGCACTCCAGCCTGGGTGACAGAGCGAGACTCCGTCTCAAAAAAAAAAAAAAAAAAAAAAAAAAATTATTGTATATTAGTTATCTTTTGCACTGTTTTTTGAGACCGAGTCTCCCTCTGTTGCCCAGGCTGGAGTGTCATGGCATGATCTCAGCTCACTGCAACCTCAGCCTCCCAGATTCAAGTGATTCTCGTGTCTCATGTAGTAGTTGGGACTACGCGCATGCACCATGCACCATGACATCCGGCTAATTTTTGTATTTTTAGTAGAGACGGGGTTTCACCATGTTGCCCAGGGTGGTCTCAAAGTCTGGCCTTGGCCTCCGAAAATGCTAGAATTACAGGCATGAGGCGGCCACATTAGTTTTCAAATGCAGACGAAACAAGGGACCGTTGAATGCCTGTTGTCTCAGGTGTGCTCCTAGGCACGGGTTCCAAACTTACAGGTACAAACTTACTTATGGGTAGAGAGACAGATAATAAGTACGTGGTCTGTAAATGTGGTTAATTTCCCCAGAACAGAATCCTGGAATACTGGTCTGAGAGGGTATAATTATTTTAAAATATTTTTGGGGCCAGGTGAGTTGGCTTAGCCTGTAATTCCAGCATTTTGAGAGGCAGGAGGATCACCTGATCCCAGGAGTTTGCGGCTACACTCCAGCCTGGGCAACGGAGTGAGACTCCGAGCGTCAAGAAACAAAACAAAACAAACAAACAAAAAAACTTTTGGCTTACACCGCCAAACTCATGTCCAGGAATTTTGAGGCGATTTATGTGCTTCCAACAGTATAAGACTGATAAGAGTGATTACCTACCAGACCCTGTGTTTGAAGGTTATCATTTGAAACTGATTTTTAATTTGTTTAGTAGAAAACCCAGCTTCTTATAGTTTTAATTTATATGTCTTGGGTTAGCAGAATGGTTGACTATTTTTTTTTCAGTCGTTCCTTCAAATAGTGAGTCCTCTGCTGGGCTCTATTTGTGGAATATTCCTTTTCTTCTTCAAGGATGTTTGATATCTCTTTTTTCTTCACAGATGTTTGATATTTCCTTTTTCATCTATTGTGTTCTTACCATTTCTAGGATGTTTCTAGGCTTTCTATTCTATTTCTTGTTCTGTACCACACTGAAATGCTTGCGGTAGCTTTACAATTTCTTTTTGACATCTGTTAGGGCAAGTCTACCTTCATGCCTGCTTTTGTTTCCAAGGGGGGAAAACGATAGCTGTTTTCGACTATTTAGTTTTCCAGGTGAACTAAGAATTTTGTGAAGTCTAAGAAATGTTGTTAGCATGACACTAAACCTATACGTCGATTAGGAAAGAAAGGTTGCATAATCAGCTTGGCAAAGGGTTATTGGAACTGGCTTTTAATCTTGACTGGAGCTGGAGCACAACTTGCCTGTAAGGCAGACCTGTGCTCCTCTTGGACTTGGGCGACCTCGATAGTGGTGTGTTCCTTTGTTTGGTGTTCAAAGTAGAGAGAGGTCCATTAAGTAGCTCCCTAGAGAAGCAGTGGCGGCTCAGGCCAGCCCAGCCCCTGGGAAGGCCATCTGCATGGCGGCCGGGAGCCCGGGTCCTGGTGGGCCGGCTCGGGCAGGCGCTTGACCCCTGGGGCCTGCGAGGGGCTGCGGCCACCGGAAGGGGCTGGCTGAGCGCAGCTCGCTGGGTCCTCCGCGCCTTCGGAGCAGGTAAGGCACGCGGGGGTGCGCGCGCGCGGGCCGGAGGGGCGCTGGGGTCAGGGAAGGGGCGCCCCTTCTCTTTTGCACCCAACCAGCCCGGGCCTCCCCAGGAGCCCAGACCCCCGAGCTTGCAGTCACTGCTGGCTGCGCCTTTGAGCCTCGCGCAACCGCAGGGAGCGTCGAGTAGGGGTCGCAAGGGAGTCGGGGAGGAGACGCGTAGGCCGACAGAGGTCCCTAATTCGGGGCTCCTAGGGGTCAGGGTAGGGCTAAAAGGGAGTAAGTCCATCTGAGTTTGAGGGGGTGGGCGTCAGCCTGTGGAGGGGGGGCCAGCGTCCCTGTCCCGGGGGCGGGTATGCGGTCCGGGTACTTCGGGGGTGAGGTCGCGGTCCTGTCCTGGCGCTTGAGGTCGGGATCCAGTTAGATGTCCGGGGTCTGGGTCCCCGGCTCCTCTCGCGCTCCCCTCCCCCACGGCGCCGGACCCCCGCAGCCCGCCCCGCCTAGTACTCGGACCGCTTGCCGGCGCCGGCGCCGGCCCCGCCCCCGGAGGCCCCGCCCCGGTTCGCAGGCCCCGCCCCCTAGCGCCCCCTGGCCCCGCCCCGCTGCTCGCCCATTCAGATGTGGGTCAGGGGTGAGCGGGCGGCGCCGACGTCACAAGCTTCCAAGATGGCGCTGGGCGGGCGGCTGTGAGCGGCGCTCGGGGCGCGCTGGGCGGGGAGCCGAGCCGAGCCGGCGGCAGACGGACGGGGCGGACGCGTGCGGCGCGAGCCGGGCGCTGAGGACAAGGGCCGCTGGTAGGGCCGGCCGGCCGGCGGGCGGAGCGCCGCCGCCGACGCACACGAGGTGAGGGGCGGCCTTGGGGGCCGGGGGGCGCGGGGCGCGGGCGGGGGCCGCGGGCCGGGCGCGTCCCCGGAGAGAGGGGCGTGGGCGCGCGCGCGCCCGGGCGACGTGGGACTGCGCGCGTGGGGGACGCGCTCGCGTCTGGCGGGCCTGGGCGGGGGCGCACGCGGGACCCCTGGCAGGCCCGGGCTTTGTGGGCCAGATGCCCAGAGGGGCGCGGGCGGTGGGGCACCCGGGGCACAAAGCCCACGGGGCCGCGCCAGGCCCAGGAGGCGCGGGTCTGCGGAGCGGGGGTCGGCGGGCGAGCGGGCGCCGGCTCTTTGTGCCTTTTCATTAGCAATCTAATCCGAACAGCGTCGGGCGAGCTGCGCTGCCTGACAGGCGGGAGGGCTCCCATTATGCAAACGGCCCTGCGCCCGCGGCCGCCCCCTCGCTGGAGGATTTTGCGATTTCCAGAACTGCGGTCTTGCACTGTCTGCGGTCTCCTCTCTTCTTGCCTCCTCCCCGCGGGAAGACTGGCCACGGCAGGGGCAGGGGCAGGGGCGGGCCTGGAGGGGCCGCTCCCAGAGGGCCAGGCTCTGCGCCTGGTGGGCTCGCTGCCCTGCCCCCAGATCTCTCCTGTAGGCAGCCGCTTGGCAGGAAGAGAGATGGGCTTGGGGGAGGGGGTCGGCTGGCAGGGGGAAGGGACCGGCTGGCTGAGGGAGGGGGCTGAGGGGCCCCAGCTTGTCACTCTCTGTTTATCTTCCAAGATGGTTCATATTCACACAGGCCTGGGTGTGTGCGTGGTGGGGGGGAAATGCCTCTCCCTGGGGGGCAGTGACTTGCGGAGAGGAGGGAATGAGGCCAGATAATGCTCCCAACGGCCCCACCCAGAACTGCCTGGGACTGCCTGTGTAAGGGAGCCCAATGCTGAGCCGGATGGGTTGGAGCGGTGTTAAAGTTATTTATCCATGTCTTCTATCCCCTGCACCCCTAGTCTTTTCTAGTAGGAGTTGCCAAGCACATCTGGAAAGCTATGTTCCCGACCCCCCACTCCCCCAGCAGCAGGAGGGGTGTAACCCAGGGAAGCCACCCCTCTGACATATGTGCTGGGGGGAGGGGCAGAGCCTTGCCCATAGGAATCCTGTGGCGGTGGGTTGTTGACTGATGTGGGGATTGCTGTGTCTCTTGTGCTGTCGGAGAGCTGGCAGGTAGTGGAGGGGCCTTGGGAGCTCCTAGGGTGAACTCAAGGCTGTCCTCTAAGGATCCAGGATGGAGGGATGGAGCTGGGTCACTCAAACCTAAGGCCTTTCTGGGTCTAGCATTTATTGCTTCCTGGTTTCTGGCTTTGCTTCTTTCCCTCCATTCTCATCTGCCAGTGTCTGGACTCCCTGGGCCTTCAAGCAGACATTTTCAGGAGCACAGGCCATGTGGTTGATCTGGAGCCCTGTGGCAAGGAGAGTGTGCATGCTTGGTGGAGCAGGGTTGCTGTAGTAGTCTGAAAAACAGATGAGCTGGCCTCTGGAGACAAAACTGTGTGGCGAGACTGCTGGTTTAGTGAGTTCTGAACACCAAGAACAGGGCTGGGAGTCTGATGCTTGGGGGCTGAACTGAGTCCTGTGGCCCAGAATTGTTGCCTGGAAGTGAACGTTCCGTCTTGTGCCATTGAGATTGTGAAGATCTCTAGGTCCCACAGGACAAGCAATAGACTTGGAAGGCTGGGAAGAGGCTCCCCAGCTGCCTCCCTTCGGAGGTCAGAGCTCTCAGGTGGGTCGGCAGGCCAGTGTCGGGTTGGGGGAGGGAGGTTGTAGAGTGCCTGTAGCCCAGCTTTTCTGGCCAGTTGGCTCTGAGTGCTGCTGTGTGCCCAGCAACCTCTCCCTGCGGTGTTTTTCTGCCAGTTGTTGGAACTTGTAGATTAGTCACTGAGGTTTTACGACCGATTCCTGAAAAGAAAAATCTCCCTCTGGTTGCTGGCTCTGTGTAGAGGAAGAAGAAGCCCGAGGGAGTCAGGCCTTTAATTAAAGCAAAACCGAAATGATTGTGAAGTTGCTGGAAGGAGAAGAGAAGGCGCAGGTGGGGCAGGGGTGATGAGTCCTGATGAGTCCTGTTGTGCTGCATGATACCTGCTCTGGGGACAGGTAGGCACGATCCCATCCTCGATCCTCGGTCTTGGCCAGCAGCCCAGCCTTCTTCACAAGCTGCAGTCCTGGATTAATCCTCACGTAGTGTTTTCTTTCCGTAGATCAGATTTCTCATTTTGTTAATAAGCGCAGCCTCCCGTCCACTTGAAGTCAGCTGTTGTGGACGAGGAGCAACAGGATTTTGCATTATTGAGCTGATAGCCTGCTGCCTTCCTCGAGTCCTTATTGTTTGTGGGGTCAGATCTGAGGGGTGGGGGAAGTGCCATTTAATCAGCAGCTAGCCCCTGGAGAAGAGCTGGCGGGGCAGTTCTGGAGAGAGAGAGCCGTGAGGAAGGAATAAAGTTCAGTTTACCCAGGGGACTTGTGGTTCCAACCTTATTGCTTGGTCTGTTGGCCTTGAGCAGTCAGCCCCACCCCATACCTTGTCTTGCCTGCTGCCCCCAGTACCTGATCCCTGGGAGAGTGGGGTGCTTCTTCCTGGGCTGCTCTTGCTGGCCTGGGAGGCAGCTTTCACCACGGGAAGAAAGAACAAATTAAGTTCCTCCCCTCTTGTCTCCTCTGAGCCTGGCCGAGGAGGGACTCCTGTGGGGCAGTGAGAGGGGAACTGGACTTGGTCGCAAAGTCTGTAGTGCATTGCTGGCTCTGCCATTTACTTCCGTTGTGACCTTGGGCAGTGATTGACTCTCCTGCCTCATTTCTACAATGGGAACAGAACTTGAGTTTACATTCATGTATCACTGTTTTCTGGAGCTCAGCCTAGGGAAGTTAGACACTCAACAAATGATTATAAGATGGGGTGATAAGGGCTGGCATCTAGCGGAGCGCAGAGGGCATAGCGGTGGTGTGGGAGGAGCCCGCTGTGGGCTGGCTGAGAGCCCTGGATGCCATGTGGGTTGGGTTGGCCTGGAGGGGAGGGGTTTTAACCAGGAAGTGACTGCTGCTGGGTTTTAAAAGGCAGTGGTAGGGTAGAGGGTGGCAGGGGAGACAGCTGGAGAGCACTGAGGACGTGGACTCACAGATACTGTGTGAGTTGGGAAGCCCGCTTGGGAGACCCCACTGCCAGCCAGGCATGTATGCGGCTCTTTTTCGAGCTTTTTATTCATTCCGCCACATTTTCTGAGCACAAACTCAGTGCCTGGACCCCTTGGTTTAGACCAAATCGTGTTGGCCCCTGCTTTCTGGCGCTCACAGACTTGCCTGGGTGGGGTGATAGAGGCGCTTGCAGTTCAGCACGCGGTCTGGTCTCCTCTAGAGGAGTGAAGGAGCTGCTTTTGGAAGTTCAGTAGCTTGCTTGGGGGCTGGAGGGTAAGTGCCGTTGATTCCACCGCCTGTGGAGGCCCATATAGTGTGGTGTCTGGAGAGATTTGAGATCCCACTAGGGAGGAGTGGGGCTGAAAGCCCCCTCCCTAAGAGAGGTCCTGGCTCCCATTTAGGGGCTTCTGAACCAGCCCTTCCAGTTTGACTCTGCCTGGCACCGCCAGGGTTCCCTTCCTGCTGGGAGGGGCCTTGCCCTAAGGGTTAGGGACCTGGGCTGGGGGAGGGCTCTGAGGAGGGACTGGGCCCCGAGGGACTGAGGGACTGCAGGCTTGCTTGCCTTGAGCCCAGTTTTAGCTGGGAGTGGCAAAGCAAGAAAAGCTGGTGGGGGTAGGAGCTGTGTGTGGGCCCCCAGTGAGCTTGATAAGGGAGGGAAGGCTGGGAGCTGGTTCCAGCCCGCCACAGTTCAGGAGGGAAGGGCCAGACTGCCTGAGAGGGGTGTGGCAGCACTGAGTGGGGAGAGGGACCGTAAGAAACTGCTTGGGACCCTCGGGAAGGTGGCCAGGCTTTGGGGAGGCCCTCCTTCTGACTATTCTATTTTCCTTTTTCCTTTTTCCTTTTCCTTTTCCTTTTCTCTTTTTTCCTTTTTCCTTTTCCCTTTTCCCTCTTCCTCTTCCCTTTTCCTCTTTCCTTTCCCTCTTCCCTTTCCTTTTCTCTTTCCTTTCTCTTTCTCTTTTTTTTTTTCTTTTTTTTTCCTTTTCCTTTCCCTTTCCTTTCCCTTTTCCTTTCCCTTCCTTTCCTTTCCTTTCTTTTCCTTTCCTTTCCTCTTCTCTGTTCCTTCTTTTTGTGGTAATGTTAGTGGGTGGAGAGTGGGAGTGCAGCCTCGGTGTTAGAACAGGGGGACTTGGGGGTTCTTCTGATGGTGAGAGGGAACAGGGATGGGTCAGCCAGGTCCCTCTAACCTAGAGGCAGCTGTTTTTTGTGAGGTGGGCGGCGCATCGTAGGATCTTAGGTGCATGTTCTCTGTTTAGGGGTGATCATACACGGGGTGTGGTGAGGAGGGAGTGTGTGGAGTCCCCAGCCTTCCCGTGGCAGTTCCCAGTGTGACTAAAAGAAGGCAGGGATTGGGTTTGGTTAGGTGGGTGCTTCCAGATGAGAGCTGGCCTGTGGAAATGGAAGAGCTCCTGGCTCTGGCAGGGGTGTGGCTGCTGTACAGACTTGTCCCCTGCCGTCCTGGGCTGTTGCCCTGCGGCTTGGGCTTCGGCTTCATTCCTCTGGGTGGGTGGGTTCTCTCTGGCAAGTGTGGGAAGGGGCCGCTCCCATTACCACACTGAGGCCTGAGCCCCTTTGAGGGGGAGGATCTGTTGCATGGCCTTTGCAGCCCTCACCCCTGCTGCAGTGCGGGAGGTGAGGCCGCAGCACTCGGGAGATGGTAAGCTGTTGGTGACCTCTCATTCACAAAGTAAGGGAGAAGGGAGTGTGGGGCCTGGGACTTTGGTGACTTGTCCTTGTGTGGACACAGTGGGGCTTTTCTGGGTGATGAGTGCAGGCTGCACATTCACCCAGCACTTGCTGTTGCTCATGCTGCCTGGCAGAGGCCTGCCTGCTGGTGCCCTGGTTCTCACCTTG